ACTTATTAATCAAAAACTTAAAAATAGATATCTATCTATAGTTAATAAATATATAATCAATTATATTAAATACTTATTTAATATAAAAAAAAATTTACAATAAATTTTATTTTAAAAATAATAAAAATATTTTAATGAATTAATTGTTTTAAGAAAATTTTAATATTTTATTTTACAAAACAAGTAATAAATTATAAAGTAAAGCAATTTTAATAAGTTTATTTTATAACTTAAAAAATTATTAACTTTTCTTATAATTTTTTGCATATATATACAATTATATTTCAAATTATTATTTCAATAAAATTAAACAAGACAAATATTTATTTCTTTAAAAAAAAATAAATAAAATTTTATAAATAATATAAAAAAGAGAATGAATTGTGATTTATATTTAGATCAATATTTTATAACTTATAATGTAGTAACAAAAATAGTTTATTTTAACAATAAATATGGTATTATAGGAGTATTAAATAATAATAAATAAATAAAATAATAAAAAAAAAGTAATAAAAATAATATATTAAATTATTGTTCTATTTTATTTCTTCTAATTAGTAATTTATGTAAAAAGTATTTAATAACATGCCTTTAGTAAAGAAACAGCTTTTGCATACCTGGTAATATAAGTCTATAGAAAGATAAGTGACTGACTTATAATTATCCATCCATAGTGAATATAGAAAAATTGAAAAAACTAATTTTATAGTTTTATATACAATGAATTATAACTAAATTTTATTCAATAAATTATTGACAAGTTATTTATAAATTTTATAACTAATGAAAAGTGCAATTATGCCAAATAAATCGTTTTCAACTAATATTTTAATATTTAATTCAATATAATAATATAATATTTTTTTAATAATTGTTGTTAAAGTAAAAGTTTAGAAATGCAGTGTGCAGTCGATAAAAGCTATTAGAATCAAATACTTTTATTTCAATAAAGCAAAAACCAGAAAATAGGACTAGACTTTTATTGTCTAATAAATATATAATATATTCTTTAGTAAGTTTCGTATTTAAAAGTTGAAAAATTGCCTATCTGAAAAAAAGAATCTATCTGTATACAATGTATATTTGAACATCTATAATATATTACAGAATGCTTTTCTATATTATTTATACAAAACGAAGGATATTAAAATATACTAAACTATTATTTACATGGCGAATTTCGAAATCTTGGTTGTTATATTTTCCTTTTTTTTCGGATAAGCATCTCGATTAGTATGTATTTTCGTTTCGCGGAAACAAACGACCGTGCTTTCTTTTTGATGAGTGTGACACAAAAGTTAAATCTGTACTTCAATCCGATCTAATTGCATCAATATAGACATACTAATTTTTATTTTTATAACACTTTATATACAGTATATGTTCTAAAATATATGATGTTTAAATAAAGAAAAGATGATAACAATATATGTAATTGAGTTTAAAATTATTCAAAACATTAAATTACTAAGAATGCACATTATAATAAGTTATTAATGATAACATTAGTGAATCTGGGATCACGTTTTTTCACCTTTTGGTGACTTTAATACATGCCCACACAATGGCACCTCCAAGCACAAAACCCCATGTAAATCCGCTTTTATATGTCTCACATCCTGAAATTTCATTCTCTAACCATTCAGAAGCATTATTTCGTGATAATATCCAATTAACTGGATTAAGAGAGAACATTGTCGTTAAAGACGAAAAACTTGACGTATTATTGGTTTCTTTACTAAACTCAAACTCGAATGCTTTTGGACATTTTTCCGTTGAGTTATCATTAAAACAAGTATTAGAGTTTGGATTTGACAAGGACGGGGAAAAATCATCTGAATAATAAGAATTAAAATTATAAGATCTAGTCAATACATAATAGCGATATTTATTTATTATTTCAGGTTTCTTACCTTCATCACCGCTTCCTTCCTCCAGTTCTTTAAACTTCCCATCATCTTTCAGTAATATCTTTTCTTTTAGTTGCTCTCTCCTCAAGGATTTTACACCAACCATAATAAATTCTATCCATTGAGCATCGTAACCAGAATTTCTCAATTGGTCATCTTTGAGCCGTAAGAATCTTCTGCCGGTTAGTGAGGTATCCGATTGAACGAATTGCAACAATTCATTGATTAACGATGGAGGATGTAATTGCAAACATTGGTGAAGATAAGCTGCAACATGTGTGGAAGACCAATTTTTAGGATCGGGAGGAAGATTTAGGGAAAATGAGGAGGATAGTGACGTAGGAACAGGTGTGACGGATTGAATGGACATAGATTTGATCCTTTGGTTTTGCTTTTTTCTTTTTGAAGAGCGAATGAATTCTGAGATGGGTATATTCGATGAAGTTGTCATAAGAAAAAATTTCTTTTTACAAAATTTTCTCAAAGGAATCTTATAAAATTACTCGCGTGCGAGAATTCATTCAATAAATCTGTGTGAAGAACCCTTATACTGTATAAAGTATGTGTCACAAAACAGGGAGTCTTTACAAAATTTGGTTATTCAATGTTGATCAGTTACTGGACCAGAATGAAAACCTGATAATTTATAAGGAGTAAAATGAAAATCGAATGATTCATTTTTACAAAACCATTTCGTATTACGACGCAATGTTTTTTATTAAATGAATTCAAAAATAAAGATTCTTTTGTTAACCCTTGAAATTGAATCCAATATGAATAAATAAAGTTAGTCTTTACTATGCATATCGTATCCCATATAGGTTCAA